TAAACATTCTCACTATGTATGGCTTTCTTTTCTTTACATAGAAAACCAGAAACATCAGTAGTAGTAAATACTCGCTTGAAATTACTATGCTGTAAACGGCAGAAAGTTGAACACATCAACACATACAAGAAACAACATGATCAACTAAAGAAAGGTGATGTTCTTCTTCATTTCTGATGTTGTGTTGTCTCCATTTCGATATATATTTCTACCTAGGATTTCTTCTTGGCATAGCCTATTCATCATCTATCGGTGGACTTTCTAGTTTAGTTGGTACTACACCTAATATTTATCTCAAAGGTTTTGTAGACAGGTAAATCGAAAGAATAGAGATAATCACTGACTCTACTTCATGTAATATAGTAACTACAATGGTACTGGCTTTCGCGTAAACTTTCTCAATTTTCTTCTCTTTGCTCTACCAGTTGGAATATTAATGCTTGTACTTTGTTGGTTATGGTTACAACTGCGTTACAACACCAAAGAGTATGTGTTGATCATTGATCATATCGTACATTCTGCTAGAAAAAAACACAACCTTGATTCATCTAATTATTTATAGACTCTTCCAATGTCGGCCTTCTGCTGAAAGGCATAAAGCACAAATTAAATTGAAGGCAATACTAATGAAACAGTATAAAGATCTTGGACGACCAAAGTGAATCATGCGAAGAAAAAAGAAAAGCTTCTACTTATGCATGCTTCTTCTCTACTTTGTAGATGGAGTGAAGTCATCGTAGCTGTCATATTCATTCTGTTGATTATTCTGTGGGTAACAAGAGAGTTTTCCGATAGAACAGGATGGAGTGTGATATTTCAGCGCAAGTACTTACTTAATTCTTTTTTTTCAAAGAAAACTAAACTTGAAAAGTCTATGATTTTTTTTTCTAGGCACATCAGTGATGGTACTGTAGCTATTTTCTGCGGAATACTTCCATTAATTTTACCAGATAGCAATCCATTTAATCGTAGGATATTTTTACGATTGTAAATCAAATATATATGTATGCTGATGAATGTTTTCCTTCGTAAGGACGACATGATTGGAAATATCAGCCGATCGTTAAATGGACAGATTTGGTACAGCATATTTCATGGGGTGCAATCTTTCTACTAGGTGCTGGTCTTGCGTTAGCCGCTGCTTTTCAAGTATGTTGAGGTGAAGACAATCATATGATAAGCATATGCCATTGAATTTTAAGAAATCAAAATTGTCGAATAGCGTGGCACAAGCCCTTGGCTTTCTGTCCAGTATACCTCGAGCTGCTGCTGTTATGATCATAATAGTCATTAGTGGTTTCTTCACAGAAGTGACATCGAATACAAGCACAGCAACTATCTTTTTTCCCGTACTCGATTCTGTGGTAGGTAAAATAGTTGATTATTGCTACCGAATCAATGTGTATTTTGAAATTCAAAAAAGTTTTTCTACCAAGAACTCTACGTCTCAGAAAGAGTTTTTCCACATACAAAAATCGTAATCATTTCTACTCTAGTTGAGAACGTTGATGTTAAATGTTTTTCTATTTGTATACTACAATCAAATGATAGGCAACTTCGTCTGGCATACATCCTGCATTCCTCATTCTTCCATGCACATTGGCTGTGTCTCTTGCCTTTATGTTGCCCATAGGTGAGTATTGACATGAAATTCTATAAGACAACGTTGAGTCTTCATTTCATACAGCCACACCACCAAATGCCATCGTTTTTGCCAGTGGTACTCTTCGAGTTATCGATATGGTGAGTTTGCCATTGTTTTTATTCGCGTATTTAACTTGATTGAAAAATCTCTAGATCAAAACTGGTATAGTAATGAATCTTATCGGCTTTTTGGTCATATTTTTGGCTGCTAATACATGGATGATAAAAATATTCGATCTAAACGATCAAACAACGGCATCGTTCTTCAATACGAGCTCCATCGTTTCTAATCCTACTCGCAGTATTTAACTCTTTCTCAACGAAATAGGCCATGTGTATATTGACTTTCTTCTCGCGACAAAACTATGCCCCTTTTGTTCGTTTTGATAAATCAGAAAAGAGTTTAAAGACTCTATCAAACGATATAAAAAAAGTTGTGGAAATAGTCCAATGGATTCGATTTTGATCGAGTCGAATAAAAAGACATAGAATATCGAAATAAGATCAAAGAATCGATTCGAAGTTAGTTGAATAATTTTCGTAGTTTAATATAACATTATTAGGATAGTCACACATGCTATGAAACGACTATAGAATTCAATGATTCTATAAATAAGTAAAAATTATATGGAAGATTTCAATCATTACGAGCGATTCAAACGATTCTTTCAAACCATTTGACCAACAAATTGAATGCCTATTCAATAGCTTTTCTTTTTCACTTCTGTTGGTTATTGCAAAAAAAGATATATAATAACCTACATTGTGATTCACGATGACAATATGCGGTGGATGTGAATTTGAGCATATATATCGTTTGGGAGCGGGTATATGTATGATTGCAATCACCCAGTACAATTTATACATATCTTTCAACACTTATGATCGGACCGCAATATTCTAGATTATATCATATTAAAAGTTTGTGTTTAATTCAGAATATCTTACCAGAAACAGTGCACACTTGTGTCTTATTCATCAACAAAATCATACCATACAGTGTGATGTACACATAACCAAAGATATCCAACTCTCATCTAGTTTTGTTTGTCTCCCTATCTCAGTGACTAACCAAGATATATAACGTCATCGAAGTCCATAGTATTAGCATCAGTTAATGAAGTCGAGCACGGCAAATTACTCTTCCGTCAAACCGAATAATTTATCTTTTTCAAAGTGGTTTTGTAGTAGCTGATAGATTGCATATTTGTTAAAGTGAACGATAACCCCTTCTATCACTTTGTATGAACCAAATGGATGAAAAGACCAAGCCCATGATGCTGCTTAATGTATGATCCGTGCAAACTAAAGTATTATCAAACTCAAGTTTAGTCTAGAACCGTAACTTATCATTCTTGCACATCAGAGGAATGGCACATGCCACGGTTTGATCTCAGTGAACATATCGGAAGATTTAAATTTAATTTGTAAGTTGTATATTATTGAATCTCTTCGTCTCACTCATTTAGAAAAGCCAACTATTATAAGAGTACTGCTCATTATTCAATTATTATTTTTACATTTTTTGTTGCTTTGTCTCTCCAGAATTCGACTACTATCTTTTTGTTTATAAGTAGTTATGATAGTATCCCGATGCACGAACACAGCACCCATGCACTACCGCAAAATCCTACCAACAGTTGTCTTCAACCAGAATCAAATAAGTTGTGGAATTTTAAAACATGGAGTTGAATGCAGAATAAACGCTACGTACAATTCCAAAACCATGCTAGCATTTCAGAATATTGTAAAAAAGGCTGTAGATAAAGGATACAGAGATTAAAGTTTAGTTTATTTCTCGTTTAACAATTGGATTCATTTTTTTTTATTTGAATTCCCAACGGAACATATGTCGGTTTTGGTTGATATCCTCGAACAAAAGTGATTATTGTTGAGCATGGACGAAAAGTTAGTGAAATTACACTCGCTGATGGTAAAGCGATTAGATTCAATCCAGATTCTAAATCCATCAAAGTTTTCTCTATAGGCAATGAGCTTTTTGTTGAAACAACCTGAACTGGATCCTACGGTTGATTTTCCGTTAAACATCTTACCAAATCTCATACGAGATAACAATACTTTCAGAAAGAAAACTACATCGACTACTCGCTTTTCTTTTTGGTGAGATTTACTTTCGTTTCGATGTTCCAATTGCTGCTTTCTTAGGACTCAGAAGAGAAACAAAATGATTTGTCCCAAAAGTGACAACTTGGCGACCTAAAAACGGTGACCCATTTTATGATCAAGTGGGACTTGATGCAGTCGAAGAATTGATGAGAAACAAATACCGTGGTATTCCTCACTGGGATAAAAAATGAAAACTTGACATTGACTCAAGCACAACAGTTTAGCCAAAAATATGAAAATAATTGGCAGACTTTCTGGATTTTCCAAAAACAAAGGAATCTTGATTGTGTCTTTTTAAATCTTTTTATTTCTGATTTTTCAAATTAATTTATAAGGAAATATTTCCACTCCACAATACAATCACAAGTCGATAGTCCAATCGATTTATTTTATTTATGTCATTATTATATTGCAAACAAATAAATTGCACTTTACTTTGTTCAAAACTTAATTAAATCAATCATATTGGAAATCAAATATCCATCGTAGCACATTAAATTCTTTAGTTCTCTGAGGCATGATTTAAAGCTTGAATTTCATTTCTAAATATATTGAGAATCAATAAAGTTTCTTTACAAGACTTCAGTTAATTGACAATTAGAAGTAAATATTTAAGATTAACTATTTTAAAAGTCAATGATTGCAATAATTTGAATTGTCAAACATGAAACACTGATTTTTGCAAGGGAGTTGACGATTTCGTGTTGAAAGAGTCTCAATTGTTTTCTGTAGTTATTGGATACACATTTTAACATTCAAAGTGACTGATGCGACTAATGGACATTACCTTGAAACGTTACACATATAGTAATTTTACTTGGCAACAAGTAAATTATCTTTTATATATTTCATCATTCAGCAAGTCATTGTTCGACTTATAATTCATTGTCTTATTTCAGAGATTCATATTGTATTATTAGAATTATATATACAATCACTTCGTATGTTCTTTCTGATGGAAAAATTTTCATTGGATGTTGAATATTTCAATAATTACTACTCGTTTAGTTAAAATTTGATCTGATCATGTTTATTATTATCATCGAGTATATTAAGAAGAATTCATCAGTAAAGAGATAGAGCGAAAATCAAAGATTGACTTTCCTGTTGCTTTTGTTAATAATTTTCTTATTTTATTATGCACTTGATTCAAGGCAAAAAAAAAGTAAATTACAAGTCATAGATTTATATCAATTCTGATTTAATGTCTTTGTAATCGTTGGATTTTTCTAATCATCTAGAGATTTTTCCAAATTAGCTGATATTGAACGAACAGAATTAAGATCACTTGCTCGGCTCAAACTAGCCGATTTAGTTGACTAAAATAGAAGAAAAATAAACAGAATAATTAAAGATGAGTTATTTTGTTTTTTTCTTTGATAATGGTTTAGGGAGAAAAAATGTGTCGCATACGATTTTATGTGTAAAGGAGTTAACTAAAAATGTATGTATCTCTAGGTAAATAAGTGCATAACTAAAGGTTGATATCTTCTAACCGGTCTCAATGGATCAAGTCCCATGGTTGAATAAACATACGTGTCACGTGTACTAATAGTGCCTGATCGAATTTTATCGAATAATCGATTGAGTTTTCGATTTAAATCTTCAATTTCTTTTTTTCTTGGATCAATTTCTTCTTGATCGACATTTAATGAATGTTTTGGTTTAAGTACACGTCGTTCAATTATTTGAATAATATCAAAACGACGAATTTGTTCAAGTCCATGAATAAGATCATCAACTTTAGCACGTGTATGAAAACGTCGCCATTTAGTTAATGCATCCATTGCTTGATCCTAGATAAAATTTACATGATCAATGAGTATAAATTAATATTTACTTGAAAAACATCTCCACGTTGATATTTTTCATTGATATGTTTTATATCTTTGGATATTTCTTCTTGACCACGTGTAGGATAAAATGGTAATTGCCAATAGAATCGATTCCAATCACGACCAATATATTTTGATATAAGACGTATTGCTCTGGAAAGATAGTCTTTAAACAAGAAAAAAATAATAATAATAATAATTTATTGTTTATTGAAATTCAATTTTCGATAGGAAACTTTTGATAAAGAGCTTTTAGAATCGAATTTTTAACAAAGGCTGTCGAATATGCAATCAAAACGGATTCGATAGGATTCATTATAGGATATATAATGATAATTAATTGTAAAATAATTTATTAATGAAGAAATTTGTTTTGAATGAAATCAATTCAATTTTAATTATATGAATCGATTTACTACGTGTATGGTATGCTGATTTCGATAGATAGTACCTACAATAATGGATGATTATTTAAACTGTTTGAACAATATAAAATTTGTCGAAATACTGATTCTTTACTGAAGAATAACAGACTAACTAAAAGAAAATTGCTCTTTTCTTTTTCGATAAATGTCTACTGCACATAGTGTCCCAAAGAGTTTCATTAGTGACACTTACTTGCCAGCAAAATGAACGAAACCCAAACCAAGAACGACGTCTTTACCCAGAATTAGTATATTTATAATTGACCTTTTTCATGAATAAAACTTTCGACAGAATTCCGTAGGAAAAAAACTCATGGGAAGTTGTAGCCTGAAAAGCAGCTATTCTTGATTCAATGTTCTCCTCTCCATCATGTTCCTAGAAGTTGAGATCACCATGGCAAAATCGATATGATGTTGGTCATGTATGTCAGTAGTACCGTGTTCAAACTTTCATTTGATCTACTTAGAAGGCTAACCTTAAGCATATTATTCATGGCGATTGCCTCGAATCATCCATCTGTTACTATATATACTAACACATAATTACATATATGTACTGTTTCAATTTATCCTCACGATACATTTTCCTAAAGCTTTATTTATTTAGCTGATGACTAACATTTGTTGGGTGGTCTCTCTTAAATTATGTTCTGATTGACATGACATATTAAACTCACGACAATTGAAAAGATTCTAAAATTAATTTATTTCTGATCTTACCATCTTCATTTTCTCCACAATGTTTTATTTGAACTGGTAGATCATAAAAAATTTTCTGTGGTAAATCATTTGTTTTTCGACATTTATAAATATTACGTATAATATCACGACAATTTTGTGTACGATTAAAATAATTTTCTTTAAGAATTTTATCTTCTAATACTAATTGTATTTCTTGTTCAAGTTTTTTACTTTCATGACGCATTTCTATTAATTCATCTTTACGTTTTTGAAAATAATTTATACGTGTTTGAATAGCATCAACATGTGATTTTAATTTAGGTAATTCTTTTGAAAGTTGTTTTAAATCTTTTTGAAATTTTTCAATTACAACATGATTATCAGTATTATCTGGTGTTTCTTTAGATTTTTGAAGAAATTTATTAAGTTGTTCTTCATAGACTTCATATGTTAAACGTTTGGAAATATATTCACGTTCTTTGACATTGAGACGTGTTTCAAATTCTTCATATTTTTTTTCATTAATCTCATTTTCTTGTTCAAGTTTATTTAATTGAAAACGATGTGATTCAGCCTTGAAAATAAAATTAAAAGAAAATGTTCTTGTTAATTGTTAAGTTTTCTTTTTTTTTTGTTTAAATTCAATACCCGACGTTCAATTTGACTTAATTGAGTTTTATTCATTTCAAAAGCTTTTTTTGCTTCAAGATATTTTTCTTCAAGTAATTTAAGCGATCTAAACGATACTTTTCCTGTTTTTTTTCTTTTGTATAAATCAAAAACTTACGTTTGAATAAAATCATTATATTTTGTATCTTCACTTAGCCATGTACGAAGTGAATCTAAAGCTTGTCGTGCTTCATAATAACATTCAGGTAAAATAAGTATATATGAAAGTGATGTACAATCACAACGAAGAGCTAATTCTTGACTTTCTTTTGATAATGTTGAAAGTGCAACACCTTTCACATCTTCAACACGTTGTGGTATTTCACGTAGAATTTTCAGAAATTTATTTACTTCAAACATATGTAACCAACGAGATTTTTCATAAGTATATGCTGTTTCAAGATATTCATCCTATATGTTCAAAATAAAAAGGATTAGCTCTTATAAATACTTTCTTTTTATTCATAAATCAAATCTAAAACGAAAAAAAACCAAGCTAATACTCATTTTTAAAAAAAGGCGAGTGGGTATCTTTTGAATAACTTTCGATGAGAACATGATAGAATACTGCAGTGTTTACCATTAAAAATAGAAGATGTAGTTGGGTCGTATCATAGATTACAGATTCTGTTAAGATGTTTTCTGAAATTTTTTAAATAAATTTTATAAAAATGGCTGATTTCTTTGAACATAAGACACCAACAATGTTATTTTGTTTTTATTCAAATTGTATGGAAAATCTATCGAGGATTTTGACTAGGCTACTTATCATTTCTGAATAACTAAGTCGAAAAATATGAGGCTTCCGTAGTTTTATAAATCTTTTATCGGCGGTTCGAATGCCTTCAAAAAAATATCAGCTCGAGAAACACTTGTAATATACGATTCGATGCGCCTTCATCTACGCTTCCTAAAGATGAAAACTGCAGGTTTTCAATAGATTGAGTTGGATCATTCATTCATATCATATGAAATTTTAAGAGTTAACAGGACGCATAATAAATTTACAAAAATATACATTCATTTAATCTTCTCCATTTCTAATGAATGTACTGACTTCAAGGTATACGTATAATGAGTTAGCTATCAGCACGGTATCTCATCTACTATTTGTAGATGATCTGGAAAAATAAATTGGTTCAAGTTGATACTGTATATCATTCACCGGAAAAATTACATGAGAATAATTCTATGAGTGTTTTTTTGTTTGTCTATAAACTGATAGATTTTCCTTTTATTAATTCGTAGAAATAATTCAGTAAACTTGATTATCAAGAATATGTCTATCACTGTTTGCATGTGAGAACAGAATTTTGTCACTATACTTCAACACTTCTTTTTAGTTCAACTGTTAGAAAATAATGTCTATAGTCTTATCACATCTGTTCTAATTAGAACGTATCTTAAGATTAATAAATGTCTTTATAGTTCAACTGGTTGTTTTTTTCCATAGTACATTCATTTTTCCTAATCATCAGTTGATACTTACAGGTACTTTTTCTTTTCTTTTATTTTGAATAATATCTTGTATATGTTCAATTTCATAAAATGAAAGAAAATATTGTTCCATTAAATTCATCAAATCAGTTATTTTATCTATTAATATTGGTATTTTTGAATAGAGTTGTTCTGTTGTTTTATCCAAAATTCTTTTCATTAATGATACACTTTCATTTGTTACAGGTCCATATAATGTACCTGTCTTTGCTTCACTAAGTAATTCACGTATTGTTTTACCATTACGAATATCATGTAATAAACGTGCTTCACGTAATTTATTTAATGGTTGTGACCATGCTTGAAGTGTTATAACAGATAATGGTCGATTTGTAAATTGATTTGTTGATGCTGTTATACTTAATGTTGGTGATCCTTGAAAATAATCATTTTCAGCATCATCAATAAATGCTGAACATTCATCAAGAGCTTGTTCAACATATTGATAAATTTGTTCATAAGATGTGGGTTCAGTTGTTTTTGACCATAGTTTTGATGAATGCATATTATTGATACTTTTTGTATGTCAATTGAAAATTAAAAAAAAAAAACTTTCATGAAATGATATATTGATTTTTCTTTATTTAATTTTATGTATCGATGTTGCCATAGTCGTACAGAAAAAAAAATGCTTGTCGATTATGTTTTTTTTATAAATAGAATTGACTTCACAATCATGTTTAACAACGAATCAGTTAGAACAAAATTGAAATCAATGTTGTTTATGTTTCACATAGAATTGCTCGTTTTTTTTTTTATTCCTTCATCAATTATTATGGAGAGTCATCCAAAGTAACAAAAGAAAAGTGGTCGCTATTTTAAATCGTCACTTTTCTTTATCATAAAAACATTCAAGGATTGTCAAGAAAAAAAAAAACTTAGAATATCAATTGATAAAAATTGTTTCTGAATATTAATAATAAGAAAAGTAATGCTTTATTCCTTCTCGTTGTACGAAAAACAAAAAAAAAAACAGATCATTTATCCAGAACTAATATTAAAAAAAAAGAAAATTCTTAATTACAAATACGAATGTTCAATTAAAAGAAAAGATCAGCATTCAATGTCTATAGAACACGTGCTCTTGTGTATGATGGCGTTGTATGTTTAAAAAATCCCATTTCATTGAGAACAATTTTAAGTAAAAATAAATGAAAAATTATAATCAAGAATGCTAATATTATCCAAAAAATGATTGGTAAACCACCAAGTTTATGACCATGTCGATGTAAAGCAAGAACATCATGTGAATAAGGAGGAGCTAAATAAATCAAACAAAAAAAAAAGAATATATATGTAGTCTTGCACTACATGTATCCTATTCTATAGTCGTCTTTCAAAAAAACAAACCTATTTCAACTTTTTTAACATGTAATGTATCTTTTAATTCTGTCATATATTTAAAATCTTCAGTAACATAAAGTATTGCAGTCGATGGACTAGTCATTTTAACAGGAAATCGAACAGGTTTTGTACTATATAGAATAAATAAATATGTGAATTAGTTATATTAAAAATTATTTTTTCAAAATAGAAAACCTAAGTTTTGGTGGTGTATCTAAACAACCTCCATCACATGCATATGCTTGACCATTTTCATTATCAATTGATACATCAATAACAGCACGATTATCATGTTCAACTGTTATACTTATATTTAATAAATATTGTTTACCAAAATGAATTGAACGAAAAAACATATCACGATAAAGTTCTTTTGGATCTAAATGCATTTCAAGATGATGATTATGAAAACGTATACCACCAATTGAAAGTAACATTGATTGAAGAATACCATTGACACCTATTATATTAACAAAAAATTTTTTTGAATTATTCAAGTAAAAATTTAATGAGAACATACCACTACGCATTAGAGTCAAACAACCTCTTTTTAATAATGTTGAACGCCAAAGATTAGATAATTGAGAAACAGCTAAATCATCACCTGGTGATCGCCATAATCGAGGACCAATTCTATACATAAAAAAAAAAGAAATAATATCTTGAAATTTTCTTTTTGTCTACATGAGAATGTTTCGATGATTCAATGCAGAAGTCTAACTTAAAACTTGATGATATGAGAGTTTTACTCGACTGAGAGACGTCGTGCGAATTTGAATTTTTTAAGTACTAGCGTCATGAATGCGGAACACTTTTTAAAGCATTTTAAGTTTTGAATAACTTGTGAATGTGGAACGATATCGAGATGCGGTTTTTGTTCTCATATAGAAGACATTTCGATGCATATATTCCACTAAGAATCATAACACTAGTAAAGTCAGTCAGGTGGTGAATTTTAATCTCTACGATTCCTAGTTTGTCTCCTGGCACAATCGCTAGATTTTAGGATTCTAGATATAATATTTTACTCGCATTTTTCTAGTCGCTAATATTATATCAAAAAAGTATATAAGAGTAATTGAATTTCAGATATCTTGATCTTTTTATCATCGAACTATAATTGTGCATTAGATCTATTTAGCTATTTCAAGCCTCTTATCGACCTGTGTTAAACTCCCCCCCAGAATAGAAGGCCACCCCCATTAGAAGGCCACCCCCATTAGAAGGCCACCCCTGAGTCATATTTGCAAAAGTCACATTAGAAGGCCATGGCTTTCTAATGAATTGTTTGGATATTACATAAATATTCTGTGCTAGTTTTATAAATATCTTAGCATTTTGAGAGATCATGTATGATCTCCACCGCACTCCTGTTTGGTTTTGCTATAAATTTAAAGAGGTATGTTCAATTTCCAAAAGCTGTCAAAACAAAACAAAGTTTAATATGCCTATTTGATCGCTTCAATTCTTTTGCTTTGGTACGATTACATATCTTTTGAATACATATAAAAACTTTTTTGTTCTTTGAAGTATTTGTGGTGCCAGACATCGGATAGGTATACTAATATTTGTTGATTAAATATAATACCTATGTAGCCGATAATGGATGAATAATGGAAAATGAACCATTATTTTCCATTATTTGAAGAAAAACATGAATTAATGCATTATAATTAATTATTTTTTGACTTTTCAATGCATTTCAATGCATTATTTCTAATAATGCTGAAAATGAAGGATAATGCCTAAATTTTCAATGCATTGTAATGCATTATTATAAAAAAAATGCATTATGATGCGTTGATAAATCAATGTATTGCAATGGATTAATTAAAAATAATGCATTATAATGCATGAAATAGGTGGCATTATCATGTAATTGCATCCATTGCATTTCTATTGTAAAATAATGCATTGCAATGCCCATTATTTCATAAAATCGGCTACATGGGTAGCATTAGCTCAAAAAGTCTAAACAAATTTCAATTTTCAGTTGTCGAGCTAGAAAAACAGAATCAGCAACTAACAAAAAAAAATTGTAATTTTTTACCATAAAAGTCCTATTAGAAGGCCACCCCTAATAGAAGGCCACCCTGAAAAGAGCGATGTGAATTTCCATAATAGAAGGCCATGGCCTTTTATTCTGGGAGGGGGTTTACGATATATTAGTCGGAGTCCAGTCTGCATAAGTCTATCTAACAATAAAGCCCAAATGCTTAACCGTCCTCCCACTTTGGAAGTACAATGAAGTATTTGGGCTTTATTGTTGGATAGACTTATGCAGGATGGACTCCGACTAATATACCGTAACACAGGTTGATACGAGACTTGAAATAGCTAAACAGATCTGATGTACAGTTATAGTTTAGTCTGGATAGTCAGCTGAAGTACAGCATTTTCGCTTTTTCTCCCTTGTCAAGGACAATATTCTGTTTGTAAAAGAGCCTTCTATATGAATTTCTTCTTCGCGTATTATTTCAGTATATATTTGCAAATGAATGTATTTCATCTTGAACTAATCTTTGAAACAATTTTGATGAAAGAAAAAAAAACAAAATTAGCAAGGGAATATAAAAGTTACTTCCTCTTTCGATCGTATTTGTAATCAATCAGAGTTCTATTCATTACTAATAGGAAACAAGTATCGTGGGAGTGATCATCATTTCCAAATAAGGAAACCACTTTTTTTTAAACTAATGATCCTGCTAGTAATTTATGCTAAGTCTGATGATTATTTTATTTTTAATAAATAATCAATCGAAACAGAATGAAATTCTTTGAAGAATTAACTTACAATGTTGAATGGCTTTCAAAACATCCATCAATTTGAAAAAGACTTTGATTAAGTTCATTCTTTTTCGTTTCATCTAAGTTTAATTCATAAAGAGGTGAAGGTGTTGAACATAAAACATAATAAATTGTTCGATTAATAACATCACCATTCATAACTGATGGTGCTAATGAATGACTTATTGAAAAACCACTTTGCCATATTGATGACCATGTATCAATATGTTCTTTTAAGAGTTCTTTAAATGATATTGATAAAGCTTCAGATAGATCATCTTTTGCTTGTTTTTCTAATGTTTTTTGCCATTGTTTACGATATGTTTGATTACGTAATAAATCATCAGGAATAGATGGTGAATATTTAATTACAGTTAAAATTATTTGTTTATTTTGACTATAAAAAATAAATAAATAGAAGAATAACAAAAAAAAAAACGAAAGATAAGATTTCATTGAATTTAAAAGTACCTATTAGGTTTAATATGAGTACTTAAAATTATTTTCTTAGTTAAGATAACACAAATACTTGAATTATGTTGTCGAGTTATTATTTGATATGTAGTCATTAGATATGTATCTTTTGTTGAATCAATTTGAAGTTCTTGTATATCAAGTTGTTTTATATCATTTCCTGATGTTTGTGTTTTTTGTTGAAAATCAAGATCTAATGTTTGATCACTTGTATTTATAATATCTATTTCTTGAATAATTAATGATGAACGACATCGATGTGCATATAACGTATGTGTTACATAAGCTGAATGTACTTCACTAATTTGGAAACATTGTAGACGTCTAACAAGACCATGATTCATTTGAATAATTGTTGCACTTGAATCTTCCCATATTTTAGATGAAATTTGAATAATAGGAGAATAACTACTAGAAATAAATGAAGTACCAGGATCAAATATTAATTGAATATGAGATTGTGTTGATAAAGATAAACCAATATAACCATTGCCTGAAATAGAATATAATATTATTATTTTATTGAAAGAAACTATTGAATAGATCATAGAAAAGAGAAACTTCAATTTGTAATTAATTTCAAAGTGTGACAAAATTGATGATAGAAAACAGATAAATAATAGTCGGAAAAAATTTAGCGATCTTTTTGTTCATTCAAAAAATCTTATGAAAAAACTAATTTTTGATATAAATCTATGAACGAAATCACATTCTGTTATTCTCTATTCGTGATAATTATTTGTAGACATATTGCAGAGATAAGCATGCACCGAAGATTTTCGAAGGATATTTTGACACTCTATTCATGTCAACTAGACAATGAACTTGTATGAAAACTGCCAGAGTTTTCGGACGTAACTTCACCAAGTTAACTTTTCTTTTAGAGATATTTATCTATTC